ATTATGATGAGGCCTTTGATCCTGAGGATGCCTTTCTGTTTCAAAACTGTTATTAGCATTTTGGGACATGTCTGCTTTTTGACTTGCCACCCCCACTCAAATTTTCCTTCCGGCTGGAGTGAGACTTCACAGTAAAGCCCTCTTCTGTTGTGTCAGATAACATTATTTTCTCCTCTTCTGATTCTTTTTATCCTCCACCTGCTGCATAACCCAAGTTTATCTCCCTTTCTTGTGAGTCCAAATGTAGAAGGCAGAGAGGGGAATGACTAAGTCATGAGCAAGACTAGACACTCCTGTCTGATGCCTGGGGGGTGGGGGGGGTCCTGTGAAAAGGAGATAGGCATGTTCTTGGTGCCCCCTCAGCTGAAGGTTGCCTATCTCTCACCTTATGTGTCGTGTGCTATGTCCTTTCTGGGAGAAGAGTGCTTCAAATACCAATTTTAGAAATTAAGGGATGCCTGGGTGGCTCCGTTGGTTAAGAGTCCGACTTTAGCTCAGGTCACTGCTTGAGGTTCAAGCCCCGCATCGGGCTCTGTACTGACAGCTCAGAGCCTGGGGCCTGCTTCGGATTCTGTGTCTCCCTCTCTCTCTGTTCCTCCCCTGCTCACGCTCTCTCTCTCTCTCAAAAGTAAATAAAACATTAAAAAAAAGAAATTAAAGTGATGTCTTGCGGAAAGTGAGGAGTGGACCCCTTCTTCATAAAAAGGTTTATTTAGATAAAGGTTTGTTTATACACATAAATAAACCATTTGTTTGCATGGAAATCCTTTAGCAAAAGAGCTAGAATTGGGATTTGGTTTGGTATTTAAGTTGAGGGTTGCATAATAATACTTTGTTACAGGATTCAGGTGCTTTGGTTATGCTTGAATGATCTGGATATGTGCTTAAATCTTTTTAAAGTACAGGGGCACCTGGATGGCTCAGTCGGTTAAGTCTCCAACTTTGGCTCAGGTCATGATCTCATGGTTCATGAGTTTGAGCTCTGCATTCGGCTCTGTGCTGACAGCTCAGAGCCTGGAGCCTACTTCGGATTCTATGTCTTCCTCTCTCTCTGCTCCTGCCCAGCTCACCCTCTGTCTCTGTCTCCTCTCTCTCTTTCACTCTGTCAAATAATAAACATGAAAAAAAATTAAAAAGCAGTCTTTTTAAAGTAGAGGAACCACTTTCTTGTACTCTTCTTTGGTTACCAGTTTCATGGAAATGTCTGTTACTAGTTGGCCTGTTTTGTTAGTTAGTTTTAGGGAATGTTTTTATTATGTGGGGGGCCAGTTAAATAGGTAAAAGGGGAATCTAAGCAGCTGCTCTCTTGCAGCTGTCACATTTATTCCCATCCTTTGATTGGAAGAATCTACAGTATAAATAGGGGCGTGGGAAGGCGAGAAGAGAACAGAGGGCTGCTTGACACGTTTGCCTTCTTTGTCCTCATTCTGGAGTTTGTGTTTTTGATTCTTTTTTCATTGATAGAACATAGTTTCCAATGGTTTCTTCAGGTTTCTTTTCTAGAAGCCTCGGGTATCTGACCGTGTTAGTGGTTGCTTCCAAACACAGAGGACAACTTGGCAGGATTGTTCCCTTTGTCTCGTCTGCTGATCATTTTTCTTCTTTTTAATGTTTATTTATTTGGGGGAAAGCATAAGTAGGAGAGGGGCAGAGAGAGGGAGACATAGGATTCGAAGCAGACTCTGTACTGACAGGCTGACAGCAGCAAGCCCAATGTGGGGCTTGAACTCCCCAACCGCGAGATCAGGATCTGAGCCATAGTCGGATGCTCAACTGACTGAACCACCCAGGTGCCCCTTCTGCTGATCATTTTAATTGGGATTGGAGTGTGGTGGATGGAAAGTAGTTTCCAGCTCATTTTTCAAATTAGGAACATGAGACCAACATGTGTGGGTAAATATTTAACAACCAGGTTTCTGGGGGAGTAGGGGTAAAGCCCTGATTTGTGGTGTTTGCTGATTTCTGTGATGTAAATACTACCCCCATGGCTGATTTCAAAATACCAACAAGATGTCCTTGAACACAGAGTTGGAAAGAAATGCACTTCAACAAACCGTTATGTGCTCTGTCCACCAAATACAAAAACCATAACCCTGAGTCATGGTAAAATGTAATAAATAGTTATGCAGTGATGAGTTTTGAGTATTTATTATATTTTTCATTTTTAAAAATTGTTTAATGTTTATTTTTGAGAGGCAGAGAATGAGGAGGAAGCAGAGAGAAAGGGAGACACAGAATCTGAAACAGGCTCCAGCCTCTGAGCTGTGGGCACAGAGCCTGATGTGGGGCTTGAACTCCTGAACCGTGAGATCATAACCTGAGCCAAAGTCGGACACCTAACCGACTGAGCCACTCAGGTGCCCCTATATTTTTCAATAAAACTTAGTGGTAAGTTTTCATGGTTTAATTTTTAACAGTGCCTTTGTTGAACAACTAGCTCTCAAAGTTCTTTCAACACATGAAACCCAGAGAAGGGACCCAGAGAAGTTACTCTCTTGCCAAAGGGTCAGTGAATGAGGTGGCAGAAGCTGGATTAGTGTCAACTGTTTCTAGAAATCAAATTTCTCTAGGAAGTTTCACTTATTAATGTTTCTGTTCATTCATTATTATTTTTTACTACTGTTACAGGTTGTTAATTATCTATGGAGACAAGAAAAGAATATCTGAATATAACTGTCACCAAAGATGGGAGTGTGGAAAACAGATTGGATTTAGAGCCACAAATAAATCCCGGTTTTATGTCTTGGCCCTACTTCTCACTCACTTCTTTGTGTCCAGTTTTCTCATGTCCAAGATGAAAGAATTGGTCCACATGAATATCTGATATCTATCTGTCTAACATATCATGATTCATTATTTGGATATTATTCTATCAACTTAGACATTATTTAGACATTATCACTTCAACAAATATTTGCTGATACCGATTACATGCACGCTTGTTATGGATTCTTTTCCTGGGTGGATTAAAGAGTATATAGTAATTGTAATTACTATTATAACAGCATCGCACACTTATGCAGAGCCTTCTAATTTACCAAAGAGAAAGTGTACTCTGAGTCTTGAGGTTCTGTGTGTCTAGGAGGACGAGACACATCTCCATAGAATGTTAGAGAAAGAAGAGTCCATTCTAAAAGAACAAACAGAACCCTATTCCTAGGAAACGCAAGAGGTCATAACCAGGTAGTAACAAGGAACGAGGAACAAGCTTTTTTTATTTTTATTTTTTGCCACATCTATCAGTTGCTTCACTTTATCTTAACAAAAGCAAAACCAAAAACTATTTTTTATTCTAAGATTAATTATTGTAGAAAATTAAGAAATTTTAAAGAAATAGTAAACAAGGGAGAGACTACCATATATCCAATAGCCTGCTTTTCTTTACCCGATGTTTTAGTACATTTTCCAAAGCAGTCTTGTCATTTTCATTGCTATGTACAGTTCCATCTTTTGGTGTATAATAACTTACTCATCTTAAATTGTTTACCTTGTTGATAGCGTTTTATAATTTTAAGGAACACAGTGATAAATATCTGTGTTTATATTTAAAAAATTGTACATTGAACATATGGCTTCCAACTGTGATATTTAAGGATTAGCGAGACAGTTTTAGCAAATCATATACTTTTGACCTTTAGCTTCTTTGATTCTGCCAATATTGCTTTGTATTTACTTAGATTTTACGTTTCTAAACATTAAGAGGAACAGTTTGTCTGAATCCTTCAATATGATATATTTGAACTGGAAATGGCAGCAATGTTTTCATATTATTTCAAATAGACGTGATAAATTGTATGGTGAATACTTTTCTTCCCCCCTTTAAGCAATTGCTTCTAGTAGAGGATTTTTTTGTTTCGAAAGTATTCAATAAATGTTCAATGCATTAAGAGATTCAGGCTAATTTAGTATAAGCAAGAACATGTGAGAAGGATTTAAGAAGAAAAACAACACTTCCTTATTCATGATAATAGCCTTCATTTTCATGAGGATAGATGACAGCCAAAGCAGAGTTCAGGAATTCTGGTAGTTAAATGAGAATTATGCATTGAAGGATGTTGTTTTAATTCACCTACATGAGCAACCATGACTCTAACAGTTATTTGATTAAATGTTAATGAGATCTAATAAATTGACCCAACTCTTACTTTTATGTATTAGATTTATGTCAATTAAAGCAGGGTAAGTTTTACCTCTTTCCTTCTTTAACATCGGAGTCAACATCTGCTTACAAGGGACGCTTTGTAACTACCCTGCTTATTTAAATATTGATGATTTCCATTAAAGGGAGCTGGTTTGTAGCAGGAAGATTGAGAAATTAGATGGTGTGATTAGTTCCTTATTTCTGCCACCAGGAAAAAAAAATGTCTTACTAAAGAGCTTTATCTAGTATTTTTTTTAATTCCACAGATCTTTTTTTTTCCCCCTGAACCAGTTAGAGAGTAAGATTATTGATGTCAAGTATTCCTTGAAAGTAGCTATAATATTAAAACAAGTTCACATATTAAAAATATATATATTTTATCAGTGCCATAGTGGTCACTACCCTTGGGCTTCTTGGGACTAATTTCAGGTTTTAAATTCATTTTGTTCCTTATGATAGCCCATAATAGGCAAAACCAGTTTATAGCTGCATATTGTATTTGGTTAGGCTTGCTTACATAAAGCATTGGAAATTCTATTAAGTTAACCATGAAAAGACTTGACAAGAATTATGTATTTGATCACATTATAATTATAAATGTTTATCTTACGAGGAAATGTGTCTGAAAAGCTTTTAAAATTTGCTACAAACAGTATTTTCATTTTATGCCAACTTGGGTTGTGATAAGCCTGTGGTAATAGATTTTTATACATTTTATGTTTTTAAGATGTTTTAATGGCATGGTATTTTAAGGCATTGTACAGTCTGAAGCGGGCATTATATTTGCATAATTGTATATTTCTTTTTACATCCAGAAACTTGAGTATTTATCCATTTCATGTACTTTATTTAGACTTTAGAGCTAAGAATTCGGATCTTGCTTAAATAGTAGTAGTGTAGAGTAATTTAATAGCACAGATATAAGATCCTAATTCTTAGGGTTAAGGATTAAGGTGAAGTAAGTGAGGCACTTGACTAGGGTATAAAATGTAAGAGAGTGCCAAAAAAACCTCAATAATCATGATAAATAGTGTTTTAATGCAACATTTGGGGGAAAATTAATGCCAAAAAATCCACGATGAACAAAACATCGCAATTTTAGAAAAAGATGAGATCTGACCCTACATCTGCCCCTGACTCACCTTTTGCCTTGACTGGGTTCACCATGTCCTTGGATAAGGCATTCCTTTGAGTCCAGATTTTCTTATCTAAAATTAGTGCCATGAATCTTCGATTTCCTGGTTGAGTTATTAGGGTATTCAAATCAGCTAAAAATACATGGGAAAGCCCATCATAAATACAAATTATGTATTTATTTACAAATTTAGGGAACTTATCAACTTTAAGTCATCAGTCTTATCAGCCAAGGTGAGTAATCCAAGCAGCAGATTTGAAGACCTTTGAAAAACCGCTCATAGAGTTGGAGGCGTAGCTCTTGAATTATCAGCTGCCAATAGGGGCAGGGACCTGAAGACAGTTGTAGGACCTCTCCTTTCTTCCTTCTTTCTTTTTTGTTCTTGGAGGTAAAGTTTGTGATTTGTAAGAGACAGAAGAGGTAAGCAGAAATCCTCTTTGTTTATTCTAACTTTCTCTGTGAAGTGCCCATGGACACTGAAATCTCACTTTTGCTCAAGCTATTCCACCCACCAGGGATGCTTTCTCCATTTCTCCTGCCCATCTGGGTTCCACCCACCTGTTCTTCACACCTCATCTTGTTGAGGCCTCCTAGTTTCTCTCGGCCAGAGATGTGTTCTCAGTCCTGTGCCTTCCTTCGGTAGATAACCATCTCTACCACACATTTGGTGATCCTTCCAAAGTCCTTGTTTTCTTGACTTTTTATCTGATCCTGTATTGGGTTTACTTTTCAGACCACAGTTTTAGAAATATACATCATTTCTCTAATTAGATTCTAAATCCTTGAATAGCCCTTACTCTCCCTTAGACTGATGATGTCAGGGTAAGCAGGGATTTAGGTCTGTTTTGTTCAGATGGTCTTCGAGGTGCTCAGCAAAGAGCCCTTGCACGCAATATTTATTTTTTGTACATCATACATGTTTCTTTTTGAATGAAATAAGTGAATGTCTTGTATGTAAAAGGGCTGGGTAAATATTTACCCTTTGGATTCATTTGTTTTCATCTAGGCTTAGAGAGGACGGTTGGTGCCATGTGGAAGGCAATTGTTTTGCTGGTTGTGTTCATGTTCAACCCTGGTGGCGATGGGCTCTTTCACAACTTATACAAAAATGTTCGGGTTTCCGTACCACGCGAGGGAAACGTAGGAGAGCCGTTATTTCTTACTCCCTATATTGACGCTGGGAAACTTGAAGAAGGTGAGTTCAATAAAATCGGAAAACCACTGGTGTATTTTCAACAGTTTTGGGTTTTGTTTTGTTTCGTTTTGTTTTTTAGCAGTTATCTTCCAGGATTCAAAATACATTCTGATATTTTTTAACTCAGCTGTTTTATTTCAAATATTAATGATTTGATGTCATGTATGATCAGAGTTTTGAGCTAAAATGAGAGTTTGTCAGGGACAGATTATCTAGTGGTCGAGTACCTACATTTCTGTTCATAAAACTAGCATAGTGCTGGTCCCCAGCTGGGCAGTAATAAATACTAACCTTAGAACATAACGATGCATCAGGTACTGGTTCTGAGGATTCTCCATAGACTCCAACAATCCAGGGTGCTGTACCCATTTCACATACAAGAAAATTAAGCAGAATGAGATTTACTTGCCAGAGTTAGGGGCGCCTGGGTGGCTCAGTCGGTCAAGTGTTCGACCCTTGATTGTGGCTCAGGTCATGATTTCACTGTGAGTTCGAGCCCCACATCGGGCTCTGCACTGACAGCACAAAGCCTGCTGGGGATTCTCTCTCTCCATCTCTGTCTACCCCTCCCCTGCTCACTCGCTCTTTCTCTCCAAAAGTAAGTAAATAGGGGCGCCTGGGTGGCTCAGTCGGTTGAGCGTCCAACTTGGGCTCAGGTCATGATCTCACGGTTCGTGGGTTTGAGCCCTACACAGGCTCTGTGCTGACAGCTCAGAGCCTGGAGCCTGTTTCAGATTCTGTGTCTCCCTCTCTCTCTGCTCCTCCCCTGCTCATGCTGTCTCTCTCTCAGAAATAAATAAAACTTTAAATAAACACATAAATAAAAAGTAAATAAATAAACTTTTTTTAAAGTTACTTGGAGAGTCACATGGACACCAGCTGGCAGATGCAGGATTCATACGCAGGCAGCCTCACTCCAGAGTCTATGACCACCGGCACGCTGTCAGGCCCCTTTGCACAGCAAGGTACCCAAACCTTCTAGACCTCGGTTTCCTCATTAACAAGATGGAGACAGGGGCGCCTGGGTGGCTTAGTCGGTTAAGCGTCCGACTTTCACATGGGTCATGATCTCGCGGTTCGTGGGTTCGAGCCCCGCGTCGGGCTCTGTGTTGACTGCCCCCTCAGAGCCTGGAGCCTGTTTCAGAGTCTGTGACTCCCTCTCTCTCTGACCCTCCCCTGCTCACGCTGTCTCTCTCTCCTAGAAATAAATAAAAATATTAAAAAAAAAAACAACAAGATGGAGACATAACCACTTACTTAAGTCACAGGGATGTTATAAGAATCAGATGAGAAAATGCACATGAAGTCTCTATAACTTCTACATTGCTCTCTAAATATTAATGTTTGCAATTTTTTTTATTTGGAAATGGTGGGGGTTCCAATCATTATTATTATTAATAGGAAAAAGGTGTTATTTGGTATCATCAGAGATCAGAATTTATGACCTTCCTCTGTTTTTTTTTTTTTTTTTTTTTTAGGAGAGAGAGAGAGAGAGACAGCGTGAGCAGGGTAGGGTCAGAGAGAGAGGGAGTCACAGACTCTGAAACAGGCTCCAGGCTCTGAGCTGGCAGTCAGCACAGAGCCCGACGCGGGCCTCGAACCCACGAACCACGAGATCATGACCTAAGCGAAAGTCGGACGCTTAACCGACTAAGCCACCCAGGCGCCTCAACCTGCCTCTGTTCTTAAAGCTTCTTTCAGTTTAGGTAAAATACTGTGTAGATACATTACTTAATCCTTCTGGACATCAGTAGGTTCCTGAACTATAGAATAGTATGTAGGTACATATAGTCCAGAAAATAGCAATAGAGTAGTAGGAAAAATAACAAATGCCTAATATTTAATAACTATTTCCCCGTACCTAGCACAGTTTCTATATGTAACAGGCAAATCTAATAGATACTTGCAGAATTTAAATTTTAAACCTGAACATGTGCCAGACACGGGTTTTACACACACATTAGCTTAGTTAATCCTCAGAGCCACGGTAATGAAGAATGCAGAATTATTGTTCCCATTTTATAGATGAGAAGACTGAGGCCTTAAGAAATCAAGTATCTTGCTCAGAGCCATTTAAAGATAGTAAGTGACAGAATGGAAATAAAACCTATCTTTGTTGACTCTAGAACCCAAGGTATGAACCACTGTGCTATGTGACTGGATCCAAACTAGAAAAGGACCTGTGTGTAGCGGGTGAGGAAAACAATTTCAACAAAGGCATTTAGTACAAGCGAGCCGTGACGCTGTGTCTGTGCCCTACATCTGGAAGAACCAAGTGAAAATACAGAGAAATCCATCTGGGAGACTGTACACATCCCTACCACTCTTGTATTTGTTGCTTACAAGCATCTCACTGTTGTGGTCATCAACAGTAGCAAAGAAAGTTTCTGAGGGAGATAGTTTTCATCTTCTGTCCTTCTGTGCCAAGTCTTGATAGATTGCCATCTGATGCACGACAACTTCTAAAAGAGTAAAACTGATGTAATGTCACTTTCTAAAGTTCTGTTACTCAGTCAGAATCTTTCAATGGGATTTTAAGTGGCTAATCCAAAATCCGGTACGTCTGGGTATTCAAATACAGCCCTGATAACATAATTAAGGATAATTTTATTCATCCGCTTTGCTGAAAGTTCAGGAAGCTCTGGACAGATGGTCAACTCATGCCCCTAAATCCCTTTTGTTTATTGAGTCTGTCAAAACCTTAGGAACGTGAGTCTTAGTATCGCAATGGAACATTCTTGAGATAAACAGTAATTCGCAAAAAAGACAAGGGCGTTTTTATTTTTTGATCTCCCAATTAGCTGGCTTAGTTTTGTGTAATTGTAATTGCGTGTTTACTTTCTCTGCGGCTAGAATAAACCCTCGAAACGAAATGAATAGAGGAGGCAAATTTTAAAATATTTACAAATACTGCCTTTTCACAAACTTTAAAGAATATTTTGTTATTAGGTGTTACTTTATTATCACTTATGGTCTGGCAGGGTCTGTGCGTGCTGTTGATGACTGAAGATTTTGTAGATGTGAAGTGCACCCTGATTAGCTGGTTCAAGTCCCTCTTTGGTCACACGCCAATCTTTTTCAAAGTGTTAATACCATAAACATTGGTTAACTGCAGTGAATAATAAGGAGGAAGTGAATCGCTTCAAAGAAAACCTTTTCCGTTTTTTTTTTTTTTTTTTAACTGTTTTGAACGTTTGAATTGTGAATCATGGTTCCAGGAAGTAAGAAAGCCCGACATCTTGGGAGTTTATTTTCCACACTCCGTGAGTAGACTCTGGAAGGATGAACCGAACATTTGAAATACAAAAATATCATTTTAGTGGAAAGAGCTTTTCATTATTTTACTGTGACTTCGTTAAAGGAAATTTAAAAAGTGAAATAGGGTGAAACACTTTTTTGGGATCCAGAACAGGTCTTTCTAAATTCTTTTTTTTTTTTAATGTTTTACTTATTTCTAGGAGAGATAGAGAGAGACAGCGTGAGCAGGGGAGGGTCAGAGAGAGAGGGAGTCACAGACTGAAACAGGCTCCAGGCTCTGAGCTGGCAGTCAGCACAGAGCCCGACGCGGGGCTCGAACCCACGAACCGCGAGATCATGACCCAAGCGAAAGTCGGACGCTTAACTGACTAAGCCACCCAGGCGCCCCAGGTCTTTCTAAATTCTTAAGACCATAATAAGGCCTGGCTTCCTTAGGAGGATTTTGTAGAAATATACTAAACTTAGTGCATTGCTGGTGTGGCAGAGTTTAGTTCATTTATTCATTAATTCATTCACCTTTATTATTTTTTTAAAAATTTTTTATGTCTTTATTTTGAGAGACAGAGAGTGAGCGGGAGCGAGACAGAGAGAGAGGGAGACATAGAATCCGAAGCAGGCTCCAGGCTGTGAGCTATCAGCACAGAGTACGATGTGGGGCTCCAACCCAGGGACTGTGAGATCATGACCTGAGGTGAAGTCGGATGCTCAACCGACCCAGTCACCCAGGCGCCCCTAATAAGAAGTATGTACTGAACGTCTTTAAGTGTGTAAATCAGCATCCCCATTTGTACAAAGACAAGGCCATTCCCTTGCTTTAATGTACCTGAGTCATTGTCAGAGCAGGCCAGCCGACCTCATGCTGTGCTGGCCTCAGAGAGATAGATCGATTCAATCATCTCTCCCCCTTAGTCCATTCCCTCCAGCTCCTTTCTATTACATATTTCCTTTTTCTCATTCTATTTGACCTTTCTCATTTTTCTCTGTCTTTTTTCGTGAATCCTCTCCTGCTCACGTACCTCTCTGTAATTCATGTCTCATTTATTCCTAACTCCCTCTATCTTCAGTTCTCTATCTGCCTTTTTTTTTTGGGGGGGGGGTGGTTCTCTGATTTTAAGATGAATAGTTTGGGGGGAAATATGTCAAAAGTGTTTTTGGTACAACGTTCCAGCTATGAAAGAAGTCTGGAGATATGATGTGACTACATAGTGACTATGGTTAACGATATTTTAGTGCATATTTTAAAGTTGCTAAGACAATAGATCTTGAAAGTACTCATCATGGGGCGCCTGGATGGTTCAGTCCCTTGAGCATCCGGCTTCGGCTCAGGTCATGATCTCACCGTTAGTGGGTTCGAGCCCTGCATCAGGCTCTGTGCTGGCAGCTCAGAGCCTGGAGCCTGCTTCGGATTCTGTGTCTCCCTCTCTCTCTGACTCTCCCCTGCTCATGCTGTCTCTCTCTCTCTCTCTCAAAAATAAATAAAACATTAAAAAAAAAGAAAGTACTCATCACAAGAAGAAAAAAATTTTAACTACATATGGCGACGAGTGTTTACTAGACATTGTGGGTACCATTTGGCAATGCATGCAAAGATCAAATTGTTAGGTTGTACGTCTGAAACGCATAATGTTCCATGTCCAATATATCTCAATTTCTTAAACAGAAAAAAAAAAAAAAAGATGTTTTGAAAGGCTGCCCCGCCCTGGAGGGTGAGCCTTCTTTGGGCTAATTGAGAGCGGAAGCAAAGTGGGGCGGAGGCAAGGCTCCTGGAGGGAAGGGTGGAGGCTGGGAGGGGCTGGCACACACCACTTTCCCTAAACATCCCCCCTTTCCTTTGCTTAAAATGCTCCTCTCCCTTTCTTTTTTCTTTGCCTCTTTCTGGCAGCAAAGGATAGGTCTCTTTGAGAAGAGCACGGGGAGAGCTAGAGAAGCTGGATTGAGTTAAGCAGTCTTCCCTGGGGGAACCAGACAATGCCAGAAAAAGACAGAGTCTTCGAGACCACACGTGGGGTGGCCCACAGGCTAGTGACGATCTTCCCTTCCTTTGCCTGCGCCTTTATTTTGTGTGCACCTGCATGTGCTGAGTTTGATGCTCACCCTCAAAGCCCAGGATGGGGGCGGGGAATCCGTATCCACATTTTGCACAAGAGGAAAGAGAGGCTCAGAGAGAGAAAGCTACTTGCCAGGGAGCCTGGTCGGAATTGCAAACCGAGGTCTGCCCACGTTCTTGCTATTGTACTAGCCTAGCAGGACCCTTCGGAAACTGCTGCTGAGACCCTCCCCATATCCCCCCATCTCCTCTGCTCCCAGATGCTCCTTGTTCCTAATCAGCAGGTGCATTTCATAGGTAACAGTGGCTGTGGTCTCTCTGAGCCCGTCTCTTTTCTGAAGGTTGTACATGTATTGACTCTTACCCTCATTGACACATGAAGCCATCCACCTTCCACAGATGAGAAACTGAGGCACAGACAGGTTAAGTGACTGCCCAAGGGACCACAGAGCCGGTCAGTAGCCACGCAGGGATCAGCAGAGTGCGAAGGAAAGGGAGCAGTGCTGTCTAGATGAGAGTTTCCCTTGGGGAGGCAGGTTCGTGTTAAAAGAGGAACTCGCGGCCCCCATGCCATGGTGTGCTGGTCAGTGTCACAAGCAGCTCTGGGGGACGGGGTCCTGATTTGCACACTGATGCGCGCACGTAAACATTCTTACCATGGCTCGTTGCACGCTGGTGGTGATGTTGCCGATGCCAAGTTGGGAAGAGAAGCCAGCAGCGCTTGAGAGCCTCTGGGCTCCGGCGCCCCGCTGAAGGCGTCTTCGGTTGGTGGCGTGTGTGAAGGACCCAGCCTCCCGACCTGCTCCGCTCTCTAGCCAGTCTCCAACCTCCTGTGTCAGACAGAAATCGCTTTTCTTCAGCCATTAGTTTTCACTGGGGACACTTGCTTTGTCGCCACTAAGGAATCTTTCTTCACCTAAACTCCCCCTCGGTTCCCCCTTCACCGTGCCATCCATGTCCCGTTCTCCATTGTTTTCTTAATCACTGCTCTCCCTTCCCCTCCCTGCCACCCATACTTTGGGACTGACTATGGTTGAGAAGCAGTGTAGCGGAGTTCGAGAAGGAGCAAACTCTGCAGCCTGCCTGCTAGGTTAGAATCTCAGCTCTCCTTTACTAGCTGTGTGACCTTGGGCAAGTTACTTACCCTCTCTGAGCTTCAGCTCATCGGTAAAGTGGGGATACTAAGTACACCTACTGCATAATATAAAGCCCTCAGTATGGTAGCCTTTAAAGTGCTAGCCCCTCTTAGTGTTATTCACTCCTGGGTGTCCTCACACTAGCTGAGAAGTCCCTCTTTCCCCCTCCCTTTCCCTGTCCCTTTGGTGCCACAGACCTCTGCCCTCCACAACTATCCTGTTGTCTTCTTTGGTTTCCTGTGAGTAGCCATGAGGCCATGAGGTCACCCCTTGTCTGCCTGCCTCTCCCGACCCTCCCAGCCATCTCCGCTCCCCACATGCGTCAGCCTATTTCCCTTAATGGAAGCGGTGGGCCCTTTTGCTTTCATGATAAGGAGAATGTGGTGAATATAGGCTTTCCGGAGGCTGAGAGCTGCTTAGCTATTTGTTTTTCTGGTACCCGCCTCACCTTTTGGGACCGGGTGACTTCTGCCCTGGCCTTTTTTATTTATGTATTTATATTTTATTATTTTTAAAAATGTTTATTTCTGAGAGAAACAGTGACAGAGCCTGAGCAGGGGAAGGGCAGAGAGAGCGAGAGAGAGAGAGAGAGGGAGACACAGAATCCTAAGCAGGCTCCAGGCTCTGAGCTGTCAGCACAGAGCTGGCCACAGGGCTCCTATCCCTGAACTGCAAGATCATGACTGGAGTCAAAAGCCAGCTTAACCCACTGAGCCACCCAGGCGCCCTCCCCCCCCACCTCGGTTTACTTTTTAGAGTGGAGTTGAGGATAGGTAATTTTCTTCTTTTTTTCTTAAAAAATATTTTATTATAGCTCATAAATATATTTGGGAGCCAAAAAAAGAAAAAGAAGTCTCCTGGTAACCTTTCTGATCGCTCCATCCCAGACCTGGCCCCTGGGAGAGAGAAGACGAGAGATGAGACCAAGATGCTAATGGTATATTATTTCTCTAATCCTTGGGTAAATTTTTTTTCCCACTAGCAAAAAACCAGAGTTTGGTCCCTCCTTTCCCTGGATCGAACGTGAAGAGTTACGCTGGCTACTTCACTGTGAATAAGACCTACAACAGCAACCTTTTCTTCTGGTTCTTTCCAGCTCAGGTAGGCCTGCAACAGCTCTCTTAACAGGACACTAACCCTCAGGAGCTGAGAATGCTGCCCCAGGGCAGAAATAGTAGCCTACGAAACCATACTTTAAAAAATAATTTTTTTTTTCTAAAAATAAGTGCCAGTGACTCCGTGTGGTGTTCCTGTTTATGTGCAGGAAACCAATGTTTGCGGGGAAGGCCCAACTTTTAAGTTCCTCGCAGCCTTATTCGGAATATTAATATTACCACCTTCTTCCTGCCGCAGGCTTCTTAAATCATTCTGCCTGTCGTTTTGTTCTAAAAATACCTTGGGCAAGGATGGGCGGTGGGGAGCCAGAGAATGATAAGGGATGGGGAGAGTCCCGAAATTCACAGGTGTAATCCATGTCTAAAGTTAGTTGATTGTGGACTTCTGTGGCTGCTCTGTCTGTGGACTTCGCAGTGCAAGCTATTCTTTTTGCACTCACTCCTTCATGCACCCAGTATCCATTAACTGAGTGCTGTTCCGTGGGAACACGGAAGAAAAAAACTAGACTTATTCTGTGAGCTTTTGAGGGAGCAGTGGGGAGGACCACTAATCTTAGGAGAGCTTCTCAGAAGATAAATCACTCACCTTCTCGGATCCAACACACACAGCTGGATGCGTTCTTGTACTTGACCGATCTTACTCAGCCCAGGTGACCATCACAGAATTCTTCAGCACAAACACACCACTTTAGCGTTATGGGTACTGTTGGGCAGAATTGGTAGAGGGGCTGAGCTGCATGAATACATTTTATCCCACCACAGGATAATTTTCTGTTTCATTTTCCAAATTGGATTTGGTTTAGAAGCCAGAGAAAACAAAGAAAAAGCTATCCCTGTGGAGGGTAGTGTTTGTATTTGCATGTGATTTGCATATAGCCATGTTGCGTAGATAAAATTGCTTTGTCTAGGATAGTTTTCAAATTAGATTGCTTTTGCTGGTACTGTTGGGTTGTATTTTCTTGACTGCTCATTTCTGCTTTCCCAACCACGGCTTCTTTTCTTTTTTTCTAAAATTTTTTAATGTTTTATTATTTCTGAGAGAGAGAGAGACAGACAGAGGGACAGCATGAGCAGGGGAGGGTCACAGAAAGAGGGAGACAGAATCTGAAGCAGGCTCCAGGCTCTGAGCTGTCAGCACAGAGCCTGACATGGGGCTCGAACCCCCGAAACCGTGAGATCATGACCTGAGCTTAAGTCAGATGCTTAACCAACTGAGTCGGGGGCTGTTTCTGATAGTAGTATGTTCTCCATTGGCTTCTGCATGTTGGGTCTCCAATAGTAGTAATCCAGATTTGTGAAAACAGGAATTAAGGGGGAGGGAAGCCGTCAAACAAAAACAAAACAAAGACTCCGTCATTTCTTTCTTTGGTTGCCTCTGAGCAGGATTACAGAATTGTCTAGAATAGAGGTGGTGCTCCAGGACTGGGAAGCCGGTCAGGGAAATGGGCCTAGATTCTGTATCCTCTCCTGGTGGGCCAGATTGAGATCTGAATGCCTGCTGCAGTGAACAGTGACGAGGCTGTTGGGGGTCCCCCCTTATTTCCCTGAAGTCCTAGCTGTGCATCCGTTGGCCAGATTATGTTGTTTGGGGCCCAGGACTGTAGCTCTAAACATGTTCCAAGATCATCCCCAAAGACATAAACCCAAGGTCGCCACACAGAAAAAGCTGTTAGAGTACACTGTGTTCTATTGGAAGTGATAGGCTCAGCTTCAGGGGACAAATAGGCAGGGATGAAACGATGGTACCGCTGACAAGTGTCACCATCTTGCCAAACCAGTCAGGCTGTAAATTATGGAACAGGCCATGTCTTCTTGAGTGAAGAAGATAAAGCATGTGGGAAGGAAAAGTAGTGGCCCCGAGTTGGGGGAGAGTTCCTTTCCTTTGGCAGAAATACTAGTTCATTGCCTGTCACAAGGAAGCAGCTGAGAGTATCATCAGGAGAGAAACGACCCTTGACAAATTTGAAGGTAGAGAAAATAAGAGATCCAGGAAGGATGCTACACTTGTAATATCCTCTGAGTGTTTTGCGGGGGGTGCTGTTTCTCAAATTAGTTTTGTTTTCCTGTTATTTCTGTGAGACTCCCTGCTATTGTATACAAATCAGTGCATGATGGATTCCAGAAGTTTTTTGGTGTATAGTGGGGAGGCAATCTACAAGAGAAATGATAGGCAGTTTCCATGGGATAAAAAGTATAATGAAGCCAATCAAAATGTAACAGTTATGATGGCTACTGTTAATTGAACATTAACTATGTACTAACCACGGTGCATATTCTTAGTTAATCCTTACGAGAAACCCATGAGGAAGGAATTATTATCCTTGTTTAACAGATGAAGAGAATTACAGAGATTAAATAATTAGTCCCAGTTGCCCAACTAGAGATTGGCAGAACTTGAACTTAAACCTAGGTCTCTGATAGAGAAATCTTTGGTCTTGATCACTCTGTATTGGTTCTAAGAATCAACTAGCTATGGAAGGTGCTAGACTACAGTCATTAACATTAGAGCTCTTGAGTTTGTCAAGCTTGCATAAAATCTTGGCTCCACTATTTATGCCAAATGTGAGGATCACAATACCTACTTGATGATGATTTTGAGAGAAAGTGGGAAAGCCTTTTTTTGGTGCCTGATACGTAGTAAGATTGTTGCTATTTCTATTATTTCATAATTATCATCACTATCATTAGTTTTCCCATTATTAACACAAATACTGGTCAGAACTAAACCGGTCACAATGTGGGAGGTTAAAGAATACAGGAAATGGGCCATTCCAAACTGGACATCGCCGAATGCCAGCAAAGAATGCAAAATTAATTGTTACAGGGTAAATAAATTACAAAGCAAAACTGGGGTTTTCCAGGTTTAAGAAGATAAAAAGGAAGAAGATTATTATTTTTAAAATTAGAATTCTTCCCATGGAGAAAGGTAGCCAGTATTTGACTTTGTCTTATAGATATAGGAATATAGGTAATTTGTAGATTGTTTGCATCAGATGTTGTAGAGCCCAAACCCGAGAGATTTAGACTTAGGCCTAAGCCCCTTTACTAAGGACCCTGTGTTGCTCCTCTGGCCAAGGGGAGTTGCTGGGATTCCCGGAATCCAAAAATTTGGTGAATGAGAAAGTTCAGTATCATATGAAGGTGTCAGCAAGGTTGATTAGAGTGAGGTAGCCAGCCTCCCAAAAGTGATCTTTAGTTCCTTGATGTTCATGCTCCTGGGTAGTCACCTGCTGTATTGAATCAAGGCTAGCCTTGGTGACCAATATGCTATAGCAGAAGTGATGGTGTGTGACTTCCAAGGCTACTCTTAAGGGCAGCGCTGCTTTCACCTTGGATCACTTGGTCTCTTGGATCACTCACCCTGAGGGAAGCCAGATGCCATTGGGAGGATGCTAAAGCAACCATGTGGATAGACCTGAATGGAGAGGAAGTGAGTCTCCCACCCACCAGTCAGCACCAACATTAGATGATCTTCATCCAGCCGAAGTCAGAAGACTTCAGGCCTGGCTGAAATCTTGGCTGTTGCTTCATGAGAGATCTTGAGCCAGAACTGTCCAGCCAGTCATTCCCAAATTCCTAGTCCACAGAAAGCATGAGAGATGATAAATGATTTTTGTTATCTTAAGCCACTAAGTTGTGGATACATGTTACACAGCATTAGATGACTAATATAGCCTCTCATCATATATTTCTGGGCTGTAACTATGGTATCTTATGACAACTAGAACTAGTTCCAATTCTGTCCTTTTACTTGCTCCATAGTAATAGAGCTATAAACATTTCTTCCTGTGCAGTGAACATGATGTTAAGCTTTGTCAGTAGAGGGTGCTGGAGGGGCATTGCAGGAGGAAGCTGGCTTCTCTTCCTTTTCCCTTGTCCTGCATTTTGCTTTCTCCTGGCCCGGCTGTCCGGTTTGTTAGTGGTGTCAGCGTGTGCGGCAATGTCCAGTAGTGCTTCTGCTGGACCCAGACCACAAACACACTTCAACAACCTTATAATCCTGGCTCTATCCCAGTCGTCCTGTGGCCGCAGCTCCTTCAACACGGACACCGGAACATCCTAGGCCTTGCCACCGAGTGGTTCCCTGAGCCAACTCTCAGTGTCCTTGACCACCTGCACCCAAGGCTGGCTTTCCACAGGCTTTCCCAGAGTGGACACTGCGCACTCCACGTCGCGTGCCACCTTCAAGCAAGTGGACCCCCAACATTTGACTTGCTCTGTACCTGCTCCCATCAGCCACAGACCACTTTGCCCTGGAGGCCTTTCCTACTTGCCCCTGGATTGTTGGCCAGTTTTGAGCCAGGCAACCCAGGGAACTTCTCAGCCACCCAGTGAGTATAACCACATCTTCTCCAATGAGGTCTAGGGCATAGCCTGGGGATGTAAGCCCTACACCTTAGGGTGTAAGCCTTGGGAAGAGCCACATCCCTCCCATATGAGTTTGTCCATCCATGGGCACTTTCCCTCAGCCCAGGGTACTCTTGAGAGTTCTCCTCACATATTTATGGTTATCCCCCATTATGCTGAGTATCTCTTTAAAATTTCCCTATTCCTTGGTGGAAACAGGAAGCCTACTCAGCATGCTGATATTTGCCCAACCCTGAGGATGTGGCTCATGGGGAGCAGACCACCCCCCCACCCCGGCATTACATCCCCATTCCTGCCCTGCGGTGGGCGGGTGTGATACCCAGAGAGCCAAAGACAAAGGTTTTGAAGGAGAAAGGCAGAGAACGTTCCAGTGGAGTGTAAGGTGGTTCAAATTAATGAGATGACTTAAGGCTCCATGAGAGTTAGCGGAGCTTGGTAGTGATGTCAAGAGGCCTTAAGACAGGAAAAAAAAAAAGATTGAGAAAGTTAGTTTTACATATGATGGTGCTGTGGCCACACTCATAGTAAAGGAAGATTTAGCAAGAGGTCAGCACCAACCACTGTAAGTAAAATTCTTCCCCAACACACAGAATGTCTTAAGCAAGTTGTTTATATGTATTGGGAGTGTGTGTGTAGAATTAAAATGTTACTAGTTAGCTAGTTAGCAATTCTAGTCACAAACCCGATTGCTTTAAATAAAAATCCCTGCCTTGATTAAACCATTAATGCAGCAGCTGAAGTATAAGCTGAACTGGGATCTGTGTGGCAAAATGGGAGTCCATTCAAACATACTTGGGGGAATTTCAAGACATTTACTTGGGATACTAATGACTTCAATTAAGAGAGAACACATTACTTAAATCAAGCAAATGATCAGCCTCTGCATATAGAAGTGTGAAGGGAGCTTTAATTAATTTACTAATTGCACGTCTCATCTTAAGTGGTACCATTGATTTGGGTCTTAGTGGTTTAGTTGCTGTTTTCTCTTCCAAAGTATGGTGTCCCTTATGGGGTGGGTGGGAGGAAGGGGATGGCTAGAGTATGTACCCATCCCTGGGCATTGGCAGACAACGTCACCCTACTACTTGCTTAGATACCTAAGATTCCCTGGTGGCACTCCAATGTCTTCTGTATAAAATGCAATCAAGTGACTTTTGGTGCCACTCCCACCCCCAAATATGTGAATTTCCTTCTTCAGTGATATGTGTAAAGCCTGAGTAGAAGGTTATCTTAACCATGGAATACAGAGGAGGGCTTCGGGGTA